CGGAATGCCTCATTTCCACTTTATTTTCGCTTTCTGGCCCACGTGTGGGTAACGTCCATATTCCCTATTACTATGTATGGATGTGAGAACTGGACAGTCAAGAAAGAAGATAGGAAAAAAATCAATGCATTTGAGATAATGTGGTGCTGCAGAAGAATGCTGAGGATCCCATGGACAGCCAAAAGAATAAACAAGTGGGTCCTAGAGAAGATCAAGCCAGAAAACTCCCTGGAAGCCAAAATGGCCAAACTGAGGCTGTTATACTTCAGACACATAATGAGAAGAGAGGACTCTGGAAAAAACAATAATGCAGGTGAAGGTGGATGGAAGTAGGAAGAAAGGAAGTCCACATGCCAAATGGATGGATTCTATTAAGAAGGTCATGCGTGTTAAGGGGTTGCAGGAATTAACAGAGCAGTAAAGGACAGAGGGTCTTGGAGATGTCTCATCCATAGGGTCACCATGGGTTGAGAACGACTGAAGGGCAGTTAACAACAAAATGGTGACCTTATGGATCTCATAGGATTTTCTTAGTCAAAGAACTACTCAGAGGTGCTTTTGCCAGTTCCTACCGTGGACACATAACCTAAGCACCTGCTATTCACGCTCACATCCAAGTACGAGGGGGTATAGTAAAGTAATAATTACCACCTGGATGTTATGGTATATTGATGAAATTTTGTCATTGTCATCATTGGTCCCTAAATCCATGATGTATTGTGTCCTTTATTTTTGTTACAGATTGTGCCAGAATTTTCAAACTGGTTACGTGTCCCCACAGATGAGCCAAGACCTGGAAGACCATCATTGATGGATGATGCAGCCACAATGAAGAAAGTGGAGTGTTTAATCCTGGAAGACAGATGAAGAACTATCCAAATGATCATGAATGAAAATGGTCTCAGTTATGGTAGTGTGTGCGAAATTACTCATGACAAACTGCACATGTCTAAGGTGTCTCCACACTGGATTCCATGTTTGCTAAGCCCTTTCCAGAAACAAACACAGTATGACCTTTCAAGACAGATGTTGACTCTGTTGGAACAGTATGAAGAGGATTTTTTTTTTTTTTTTGGCTGTCTGGTAACCGTGGATGAATCTTGGATCTATCAGTATGATCCAGAGACCAAAACCATGAGCATGGAGGGGAAGCATGCCGATTCCTCTTCCTCCAAAAAGGCAAAGGTGCAAAAGTCAGCAGGGAAGGTCATGCTCTCAGTTTTTTGGGACTATTGTGAAGCGATTCTCACAGATTACCTTTCAAAGGGACAAAGCATCACTGGCACATACTAAGCAATTCTCTGGACAAGTTGCAAGATGCTCTGAAAAAGAAATGCCACGATATGCTCTCCTAAGGCATTCGTCTCCTAGTTGACAATGCACCAGCTCACTCATCTCAAGTTGCAGTTAACAAAGCAAGGGCATTTGGTTTTGAGATCTTGCAGCATCTGCCTTATTCTCCTGACCTCGCACCAAGTGACTTTTTCTTGTTCCCAGAAATGAAAAATCCTTTGTGGGGCTGCCGATTTGACAACACAAATGACATCATTCATATGAAATGGAAGAATGGTTTAAGGTGTAACCTTCAGACTTCGACAATAGTGGTATTTGGAGAGTCAAGAAACACTGGGGAAAATGTGCATATCTGTATGGTGACTACATAGAGAAAAGTTAACAACTACAAATCAAAACAAACTATCTGTCAAAAATTTTTAAAGATGATAATTAAAACTTTACAACACCCTCTCGTACTAAGCCGAGCTGATCCTGTTGGCTCTCTTCTGTTCTGCTTGATGTGCAGTAACAAAAACAAAAACTTTAGGCCCACCAGAGATGCCAACTTACAGCACTGTCTGAGGTAAACACTCTCAGAAGTAGCTAACAGTAGCAGAGTACAGAAACAGCAGTTCAGTTTAAGTATTGGCAATGCACTGACCACTTGAATAAACTCACAGACACTTGTTGATATCTTCCAAGCCTTTGGAGGTTCTTTATCTTAAGTTGCAATATATAGATATGTACAAACACTCCTCACGACTCCTCACAATTTTCACTGTCTGTAATTTAACAATCCAACCCACACACACACACTGAGTCTCAGTGCTGTTATATAAAGAGTTGCTTAATTCTCATCACCTGTTGCCACTTAACATGATGCAATCCCTATTGTAAGCCTTTGCATCATGTCAAGTGCTGTGACTTAGCAATCTCAGCCATAAAAATATTTTTGCCATTGTTTAAAAAAACATTGTTCTAACAGACCCTACTACTACTACTAATAAAAATAAAAATAATATTAATATTTATTTCTTACCCACCTCTCCTTGCGGCTCGAGGCGGGTAACAAGATAGAAGCGGTTAGCCTCCAAGATCAGATGGGATCTGGTGCCTTTTAGGGTATTCCCCACCTATATCCTTAGTTGACTAGATATATACTTAAAGGTACAGTCCGCCCTCCACTTTTGCAGCTAGGACATTATTGCACTGCTCTTCAGTGGCGTCACGGGGGGGGGGATATCTGGGGGGTGCAGTCTACACCAGGTGACACCCCAGGGAGGGGTGACACTTGGCCAGTGGGTCCCACCTCCACTCCTTCTTGTCAAAGCTCAGTTTTCCTCAGAGGAAAATCTGGCAGCAACAA